ACTGAGATGTACTGCAGGCGGCCAGATGAGGAAATGCATACATCCTTCCTGGGTATTTACTTCCAATTCAGCTGTCCAAAACATTGAATATTTGAATTCTTTATAATTTTGTTATGCTCTCATTTTTATTTCAAGAAACACACGTGCTTCTACTGCATAGGAAATTTGCTGGCAGTACTTTGACCAGGAAGGCTCTGCTCACACACTTAAGAACATTTAACAGTGACTTCGGTTGGGGGGGATTTGTTTAACAGCCCCAGTTAAAAACAAAACCAAGAAGCAGCAGAAGGGCAACGTGTGGCACAGCAAGGGCTGAGATCACTCCAATGGGTCGGTCCTGGCCAGCCTCAGCTCCCGCCACAGCTCAGCCCCAGCTTAACTCCCCCTGACCACTGAGCAGAGCCACTGCCAGCAGTGCTTCTGTGTGCCACAGACAGCCATGCAGCAATGCAGCGCTGCACAGACCCATGCACAGACATGGGGCCACCGAGGCTCCAGGAGATTTTTCTAGCTGAAAATAATGGAAATCGGTGGCCTAACAAAGTTAAATGCCCTAGTGCCTCTGTGGAAAGAGATGTAAGAGACCAACACATGCATAAATAACACCTGCTAAATCACACTTCAGAACGTCAGCCAGAAAAAAGAGACCCGAACAAATATCCTGGTACAGGGAAAACAGTTAACAGATAACAGTTTGCTATCACCAAATAATGTTTCTTGCATACAGAAATGCCATCCTTTATCTAGATATTTAGATGGGAACAGAAGTTCACTGGGTTTGTCAGCACCATTCGTTTCTCTGGAGAGAATTCCGAAGTGCTGCTGCCGACAGAACATCAATAATGGAGACAAATGTTCCCAAGCGTTAATTTTCTCAGTGCTGTGAAATCCAACTCGCACACCATCAGCGTGCAGCAGGGAGGGGTAATGCGAGCGGGCACTGCGAGCAAATAAAACAACAGAATTCAAGGGGGATCTGTTAGCAGGCTGGAAGAGGTGTGCAATGGGCAGCAGGACGAGGCTCCAGCAGCTCCCAGCAGTGCTGCAGCCCAACACTGCTGCCAGAGCGTGCCGTGTTCACAAAATGCTCTGCAGTAAACTCCAAAGGAAATGGCCTGAGCTGCAGGCTGTGTCAGCACAGCCCCATGAACCCAGCGGTGCTGCGAGCACAGAAAAGCAAAGGCAGGAGCAAATGGGGACACTGAACGTCACTCCGTTACGACAGGCAGTTACCTGCAACTCACCCTCAGTTGCACTGAATGCAGCACCGTGTCAGAAGGTAATTTTCCCCACATTTCCTGTCTAGGATTCATTTCGCTGGCATTGGGCAAACACTGCAAACATTTATGCACAAATGTTCCTTAGAACATTTCATGTAATTAATCTCGACCATTTTCTCCCTCCTTTTAGATTCAGTTCCCATGACTTTATTCTGCCAGCCCTGTTTACGATCAGAGTACCCACTGAAGTAGCAAATTGTATGTGATTATTGGAGATAATTCACCAAGAGCAGTGTGGTAAATTCGTTATTAATTCTCATTCTGAGCACCGCTGTCTGCGGCCCTGCAGGCAGCCCGCGGAGCTGCAGGCACCGAGCAGCACTGTGCCCAGCATGGGTGAACCCGGAGCACCTCGCTCCTCCCGGTGAGCAGTGCTGCATCAGCCATTCATTTCATTTAGCTGCTTTCGAGGATGGTGTTGTTGAACTAAATTGAATCTGTCTGCTGGCAAATGCCCTAGAAACAGGCAACAGCCCTCTGGAGCGTGCGGGACCAGTCCTACACCCCATCCATCTTCTTCCAGTGAAGGTGCTGTGCAAGTCAGGCCTGGATGCTTCACTCAGACTGGCAGAACGAGACCTGATAGAGACAGATCAGAGGAACGTGTTCTCCCAGCAACCGTATCACTCTCACGAGAAGACATATGAGTCGCCTCAGGAAATAAATGCTGCAATCCATAAATGTCTGCAGGTGCCCAGGGCGCACTGCCCTGCGCTGCGGAGACAGGTGCTGCAATGGGCTCCTCGCTCCAAACCCACAGTCTGCTCTCTGGTCAGGTTTGTCTGCCTCCATGCCCATGCTAAATGCCCTGGAAACTAAAGGATTTACACTGAAACTCCATTAAGAAATTCTTTTAGGCTAGAGCTACACCAGAGGCATAAAGCAGACCTATGAAGTCCTGCTGTTGTTTTTCCAGGCCATCCGTGCTGTCAATGTCAGACAAGATCCCAGGATGGAGCAGGAGCTGCTGCAGTGCTGGGACCCCGCCGTGCCAACAGCAGGGAGATCCCCACCATGGCACACCACAACTGCTATGGCACTGCCCAGGGGCAGCTGCAGTACCTTCACTGACCTCAGTGACATTCACTACGGGCACTGAATCGTCCCATTATTTTTCCAGAGGGAAGGGCTATGAGGAATTAATATCCTTGCTCTCAGAGCTCACTTTTCTAATATCAAAGCAAAAGGCAGATAAACTACGGGCCAGGAGGAAAAAAAAAAACAACAAAGAATAAGATGATATAATGAAGGGTTTGTATTCTGCATTGAGTTAACCCAGTGGTTGGTTATTCCCCTGCCCTCTCCTGCCCCAGGCACTGAGCTATTTCTGGCTCAGTCGTCGTCCTGCTGAACAGACAAGATGTTTCTAACCTTTCTAGGCAATAGCCTTTAATATGTGCAATTCCTGCTGAGGTCGACATAACTTCCAGGCAGGACAAGCTTGCATATTTTAAGAGATCTGGCTTTTAATGTCACTAATCTGCAAGCATTAAAAAAAATTACACTTCACTACTCCCTAGAGGTAAACTTCAGGAATGGAACGGCAGAAGCACTGCCACGGTCAGCAGCTCCATATTTTCCTGATGCTAATCTTCAAACAAAAATGCAGTATCCTACCAGCTCCTTGGCTGCAACCCTTCACCAGTTGGCATCTGCGCTACAGTCTGGCTGTGAGCACGGTACTGCATCCTATGGCATGGGATGTTTGGGACAGCATTTTCTGACCATTGGCTTAGAGGCCATCTTAGAACCTTGTCTCTGGTTTCCAGTCAAAGCCCTGAAAAGCAGATGTAAAGCTAGCTGCTGAGGAGGGTGGGAAGGGAACAAAGGCCTTGGAGGAACAGCTCCTAACACATGCATGGACTGCAGTTTGTAAATGGATCAATATGGCGTATAACTGCTGGGAAAAACACACAGACAAATACAGCAAAAATGTGCTGTAAAATATGTTGGGGCAGGAAAATGAATGATCTCTCTGTCAGCTATTTAAAAGCAATCCAGTAATGTGAACAATCAGAAGTGAAGAAAAATCAATGCGCTTCTCACAGCACAGAAATGGAAAACAAGCAGGATTTGCTCCTGCAAAATGCACGCAAACAAAAGCCAATGGATTAATTTTTCTTGCCAGTAACGTGGTCATTTCTTCAGAGACAGAGCCACGCTCAGAGCAGCCCTCTCTGTAGATACTTATGCTGTGTTTATTGATGTCAGTCATAATATCCCCACTGGTGTCAGTGGTACACAATCCAGTCTTTACACTAATTATCAATTATGAGCAATTGTGGTTTGTTCCCATCACATTTAATTTGTTTAATAAAAAGTCAACTAGAAAGATCTCAAGCAAAGGGAAGACAGAGCATGGCAAACCCTACTGCTTCATTCCTCTGCCTGATGCTGTGGAAGCACAGCGGAGCCAAAACGAAAAGTAATGCTGCCCCATCAGAGAGATCAGCCCCTCAGAGGAACAACCGGCGTGTCCCACAGGGCTGCTGCTGCATTACAAACTGCAGCCAACATCTGCCTTCAGATATCAGAGGGGAAATCGCATCAGGAGGTGCCAGGAGAACATTGCTGGAGCAATGCAGAGATTGGGGGGGAGGGTGTCCAGAAGGAGCCACAAGGGGGAAAACACAAGGGAAATCAAAGGGGAGAGGAATCGGTGGTGCAGAGCAGAAGGCAACAGTATGGTTGGTTGGTTGTGCTGCCTGACACTTCACACAGCCACACAGCTTATCTCAGGACTCACCACGTGAGCATAGAAGGAGATACATACTGGTTTTCCTTTCCAAACTTTAGTACTGGGCCTAAGAAATATAGCTAGAAACATCACAGAAATTAAAGAGTGCGGAACTGGCACTAAGACCATGGGAACAGCCAGGCCTCAAGTCAGCTCCTGAACCTTGGCCAGGCCTCTGCTTGTTGTCACAGAGGGACACCATTATTTGACAGTTTTCCCCCAGTCTACTGAATGGTCGCAGCAGCCACCCTGCCAGCAGAGCTCAGGGCACCCAGGCGTGCAGCAGCCTAGGCTGTGCTCCCCATCACACAGCAAGCACAGCACTCCAGTGCAGAGCACATGAGCTGGAGCCTGTGGGCAGCTGTCCTTCACAGCCCCCCCAGAGAACACATTGCTTTCAGGATTCCAGACAGCTTGGGTTGGCTGTTGATTTCCTTCAGGCAACCTGAAATGAAATGCTGCACCACCAGACTAAAGACATCCGTGCTTTCTGCAGGTTATGACAGCCACCCCAGTTCATACATCAGTATCCAGCACAGGCTCAGGCAAAGCAGTGCCAAACGCCAAACATCCCAAGATGAAGAGCACAAGTTTCAGGGTCTGTCAGAGAGAGCAGTTCTGATTTCCCCTCCCCATTCCTCCCCCTTTCCTTTATATCTCTACCTCTCTGTTCCCTCAAGCATCAAGCAGCAGATTGAGATTACAGGGAAGGCTCTGCACAAACAGCTTCTCCTGCCTCTCAGTACAAACTTAACGCTCTCGGGAGCAGCTCCACGCACCACGCCTGAAGGCAGCGGATCCCAGCAGAGCTGCAGCCCCAGCACGAGAGCCAGCAGTGCCACCAGCAGCTCGCTTTGCTCCTGGGGATTGAAGGCGATTTTGATAATGTAGCTCAAGTCATTAAAGTGCTTTTGCAAACATGCTGCCCCATCTCCTGCTGCGTCAGGAGAGCAGGAATTACCGCCTCACTTTCCCATCCGCAGGAGCACAGAGGAGGAATGCGCATCAGGAGCATGGTCACCATGGTGACAGCAGGGACACAGCGGGAGCGTTCCTTGAAAACATCGGTTTGGATCACAATTAATGCGGGAAATGAACAGCTGAAGAACAGCAGAAAAACCTCTTAAATTATTCAGCTGGAATAAATTGTCAGCGGTGGTTCTGAAGCACGAGGCAGCAATGGGGTCTTTCCTGGGAACCGCAGGAACGGCACCGCCGGAGGGCAGGCAGCACACGAGCAGCCCAGCCCTGGTTCTGCCTGTGTCCCTTTGCGAATAATACTCCGAGGGTGCTGTGAGCATTTCCAAACGCTGGCACCACACCTCTCCACAAATGCCAACTGTAATGGTGCTCTGGAGCAGCAGAGTCAGCAAAAATGGCAGCACTGGTCCTGGTAACACAGCCAGACCTGGCAAACTAGAAAGAAGTAACACGAGTGGTGTAACGACTGCCTGTTCTGAGCGTGCACCAAACGCCATGGCAACTCATCAGTAACCGCACAGCTCCTGTAGAGCTGCTCAGGACCTGCAAAGATGCACTGCTACAGTAGGAGTAACCCCACTTTAATTATTAAAGCTAAAAATTTCTGAGCTCAGTCCAATCGTGGTGCTGTTGTGTTTCCCAGCAGTACATGAAAGCCAGTTTGTCTCTTTCCCTGTATTGACTCTGAAATTACTCACTGAATCATTATTTCTAATTTTGTAGGGACTTTCTGCTGAGGGGCCGATGCCTCATACCAAGAAAACACAATGCCTACAAAAAGCACTATTTATATAAAACAATTGATGCACAACAAGAGAGACATCAAATTACCACCTCGGTGTTGCTTATACAAACGCATCGGGAGGTGCTGATGAACCGCAGTCCCTTCTGCACGGCTCGTTCTCCCAAGCTTTGAGAGCTGTGACAAATTACATTAATTCATCTGCGCAGATCAGACGCGTCTTTAAGCCGCTCCATGACAGTTCCCATCAGCCTTCCTATTTGCCATAAGGCCGCGTGCATCGGCCGGGAAAAAACCTCCCCCGGCGACCGCGGAGCGCCGCGCACTGCGGGCCGCCGCCACCCGCGCCCAACCCGAGCGCTGCGCTTCAGCCGCGTGCCGCTGCTGCCACCTGGCGGCCGGAGTGCCAACCTGCAGGCGCAGCAGCGCCGCGCGCGCACGGAGCTCTTTGCGACCGAGTCAGGCCCGAATCGCCTCGCGGCGCTCTGCAGGGCAGGCGACGAGCATCCCCAGCAGCCCGATGTTTACATGATGACGCAGAGCACTAAGGCTCAGATGTGACAACACTGTCCCGCCATAGGCACACGAACAGGAACTCTGAAGTAAGCAGGGCATCATCATTAACAATTGCTATCAAGTTGCAGCACGGGACAGTTGAAAGGCAGGTGTGTGGGAGGGCCACTGAGCTGCACTGTAACACTGTGGGGCAGCAGGAGATGAGCAAATGGAAGACAAAGCAAAGCAGTAATGCATTCTGCAGCACAGAAAATGAAGGACTCTGCCTGGTGAGAATCACAAGGTTGGAAACGACCTACAAGATCATCTAGTCCAACCATCTCCTCATCGCCACTGCCACCACTAGCACTAAAGGAAGTTGGCCAAGCCTAAAAGCAGTCCCATATCTAAAGAAAACACCTTAATTCAGTACGTAATTTAGTAATACACTTCTTGCAGATAAATGCTGTAAAGACTATTTTGCTCTTATGCTCAGATTCATGTTTGATTGGATGTTCCGTAGTTCTTAAGAAAATGAAGAGTAGCACTGCTTCCAAGTGCCATTCATTGTGCATGTCTAAGACATGGAAAATTAGGATCCTGATTTGAACATCTTAAGATCAAAATTATATGGAGTAAGAGCTGTACCAATTGTGTACACAGCGTGCTGTAATTGCAGCTACTTCTGCAGTAAGTTCTGATGAATGCCTGAAACATGCAAGGCTGAGCAGAATGAGGTCCTCGCTTGTGCTAAAACTGAATGAGCTTCCTGTCCAGAAAACACAGCCCCAACCTGGAGGTCAGTCTGAGTTAATGACTTCCTGGGAAAAGGATTTGCAGTATTTGCTTTTACTCTTCACCTGATGAGCAGACTTAGCAGCTGAGTACTCTCAAACACACCACTTATAGCTGAGACTGCCTGTACCTCCAAAAGCAAACACTTTACCTCGATTGCTGCCTCAAAATCATATGGAACCTGAATTCAAATGTCTGATCCCACAGCCTTCACACCTCGTTTGAACTGTGAGAATGGAGGAGGCAGTGAGATCTGTTACCAGGTGTTTTTCTAAAACCATACAACAGTTTGGTTGAAAGGGACCTCAGAGGGCTCCTACCATGGAGCCCCCCGGGTCAGGGCCCTATCTGCATCCTGGGGCTGCTCCTCCAGAGATGAGGCAGCACAGCTGCAACCCCAGGGCTCCCTGAAGTTCTTTCTCTCCCAAGTGAAGTCCACGTTCTTTGGGTAAATGCAGCAGAGGAGGGTGATGGCAGTGCCATCTGCTGGGCCACAAGCACTATGGAACAACGAAAGACAGCGAAGAAAAAAAACGAATTCAGCCCTTCTGATGAGGGTGTGAGAGGAGTGCGATATCCGCCCAGAGATGCTGCTCCCTCAGCTGCTCACCCTTGCACCAAGTTGAGGAGTGCACTGCTTGCCCCTGAGCTCCAGAGATCACCCCTGGGCCAGGCTGTGACACAGCAGATCCCACAGAGTAACTTTATGGCTGCAATAGTCAGCTTTTAACTTCAAAGTCGCCCATCTGTCAGGTTTGTAAATATTTATATTCCTCTTTAAAGGTACATCTTAACTGTTTACCTTTAAATCTTGACATTGCCTCACACCACAAAGTTTAACTTAACAACCTTGGGCTGATACTGCTCCATACACGAGGAACTGTCAAGAGTTTCACGCCGCATAACAACTAGATTTCATGTCTCACACAGTGAGAACTGCTCACAACCTGCAGCTCTGCTGTGCTGCAGCCCGAGTCCCCCACCATCAAGCCCTGTGCCACCACCCTGACTGTAAAATGCCCACAGCTCTGAGCCAGGTGTGCTGCCCACTGTGCGGCTGTGCTCCGAGAGGCAGCTGGGGCAGCACAGCTCTGCTTTGTTCTCATCAGATTAACACTGCTGCATATCTTTTCCTCACCCATAGAGTCAAAATAAAGATGTCCCAGTTCATTCACGAGGTGTATTTTGACGGCCACTGGCTGGTTTGAACAAACGATTCATTCCTCTCCTTGCAAACTCTTAGGGAAAGCATTCTTCTCACCCTGCCCAGCCCCAGCTTTGTGCCCTGCGGGGAGGCGGCGCTCCTCACTGCAGGGCCGGGCAATGGGGCACAGCCTCCGGGCTGCAGGGCCGGATGGCCTCAGAGCCGCCGAGTGCAGCCCCAGCGCCGGGCACCTTGCGGGGACCGATGCGGCCACACTTTGTGCCAGCAGGCGGCTCTCCAGTACGGACAGGACCCGGCTGCAGCTGAAGGCCCTTCCTGGTTTCACTTGTTTGGTGTCGGTTACAAGGCAGAATATTTATGTTGTTTGTACTTGATGGACGTAGAGGTTGGAGTTGCCTTTTTACTGTTCAATAAAAGTTACAGTTTCGTTGTTATTGTAGTATTTTGTTATTGCTGCACCCAAAAGCGCAGGGAAACAACCCAGAGGGCTCCCTTTTCCAGCAAACGCGTCCCTGACGCCGAGCAGCGGCTCGCCGCCCCGGGCACGGCGCGCAGCAGCGAATGGCGCTGCGGGTCCCGCTGGGCGCGGTGCGGTGCAGTCAGAGCCTTCGGGCCCGGTCGCGACCGCCCCATCCCGGCGGTGCCGGGCAGCCCCTCCCGCTGCGCGCCCGGGGAAAGAGAAAGCGAAAGGGAACGAAAGCGAAAGGACGGGCAGGGAGCGATGGGCTGCGCAGCGTGGCTGGCGGCCGGCTGCCTTCTGAGCGCCGGTATGTGCGGGACGGGGCCGGGGGTGCGGCGGCTGCGCTGCGGGAGCGGCTGGGAAGCGGAGGGGACGCGGGCGGTGCGAAGGAGCGCGGAGCTCCGCCGCCGCTCGGCACCTCCCGCATCAATGGGGCGATTTCAAAACCGACTATCAAAATTTTAAAAATAGCTCGAGCGAGCACGATCTCTACTTTTCAGTAATCACAAGGACCCCGAACGGCATTGCTTCTGCAGAGCCGGGGCTCAGGAGGAGCCTGCAACTTCCCTGCGTATTTGAAATGAGAAAAACCATTCCCCTGTCCAACGAAACAGAGACCGTGCTGCTGAACGTCAGGCTGCTGCTGCCTGTGGCTGGAGCAGAAGGTGCTCAAAGGCCTCAGACAGAAAGCCTTCCTGCAGACAACCTGCCCTCGTTCATTGTACAAGGTGAGCTATGTGCTCAGAGGACCAAGCCTGGCTCCTGGCAAGAAGTGAGCAGATAGGCAGCCCTGCTGTGCTTCAGATGATGGGGTTACAGAAAATTCAGCATTTCCCTACTCGGCACAGCAGCTTCACCTCCCGCTGAAGATCTGCATCCAATGAGACCACTGCGCTGTGAGAGCCCAACCTGGGGTGCTGGGAGAACCGACCCCCTCCCACACAACAAAGGCAGCTGTGCACCCCACCCCAGGACAAAATCCAGCAGTGCTGGGCAGGATGTCATCCCAGCTAAGTGAGATCACTCCTGCTGGAGTGCACCAGGGTGGGACAGAGCAGGGCAGGACCACGCTGAGAGCTGTGTGCAGACAGGGGGCTGCTTCCACTGCCCTTAGGTGAGCCAGGATGATAATGGGTCCACGCGTGTGTTCACAGAGCCCTCGGTGAATATTCTGCAGCACACAGATGAGGATATCAACATGCTTGACTGCAGGATCAGCCATTACTTTACAGCCAACACTCAGATCCTCTGGCCTGGGAGGGAGGTTCGAGCCCACAGCCTGGACACCTGGTTCACTTGCACCATAAAGCACACAGCTGGGAAATACACAGCTACAGCCTTCCTTGTGCAAGGCCATGAGGACAGAGAGCACCAAACTCCAGGACAGCTTCACCAGGGCATCGCAGAGCAGACACACGTGTCAGGTAATGCTCCTCTGGGGAACTTCGTACATGCTTACATTCCTAATGAAGCACGGGGAAGGGGGAGAGAGAGGGGAGGGGAAGGGGGGGTTGGAGCACAACTTTCAGGCCTGCAGGCTGTAAGGGTAATTAGCAAGCAACTACCACTGAGCTCTTTCAGCTGTGTCCCAAACTGCACCCCAAGCTTCAAGCTGGAGTCGTTTTCACAGGGATTATGTAGAGGGAAACCACCTGTTCCTCTGCAGCTACGCTGGGGTGCTATGAACTCCCAGCCTGGCTTTCTGTATCCCACCAGCTGTTGCTTAATGTCACCACCCAGACACTTCTCTTCTGGGCTTACAGACCTCAGACTATTTTTACCAGCCCCATAAGTTTACAGATAGCTCAAGATAACGTTTTAACAACTGTAAGGTAAAATGTATTTACTGAAAAGCATATGCTTTCCCTTGTGTTGAGAGCTGTGCACTCTGCAGAAATGAATAACTCCAAAGCAGCTTCTTAAAAGCATAATTGTTTTCTGTTTATGTAGTTCTCTACCATCATCTCTAAGAGCCCCAGCAGCAAATACAGAAGCCACCAAGGCTTTAACACAGACACAAGTTAAGGCTGATCTAAGTTTTTCAGCAGGCAGAGCACTTCCACAGTATTTGCACTGGAAACGCAACCCACAGTGTGAGCTGCTTGCTGAGCTGAGGGAGAAGGCTCTAGAGAAGGAGCAGAAAGCAATTAGCGTCTGCCAGAGAGCTGCAGCCTCACCCGGACAAGAAACCCGGGTCCAGCCTGCAGACTGTAGTTACTGAACCGCACCCTGCCAGGGCTCGCCCGTAGCTGAGCACAGATAAGCGGCTCTAGTGCTTGAAAACAGGGAGACCGGGGCTCCGCGGTCCAACGGTGGGGACGCGCCACGAGGCACTGCAGCAGAGGGCAGCACAGCGAGCAGCACTGCCTGGAGCCAAGAACACAGCGCGAGCACTCACACCCCCCACGTTCCCCCTTACCCCATATCTCCCCTCCCCCATAAGAAAAAACAAATTTTCATTTATTACTCACCCCATCACAGGGGCTTCTCTGAGACAGCTACATCCAAGCAAGCCGCACCACCGAGTGAGGCGGACCCCTTCCCAGCTCTCTTTTTCAGCCCCACCGTACTCCTCCCCCTCAGGCTAATTGGACTCAGCTGGCTTTGATTGCCACCCGGGGGAGCTTTCAGCCCCCTCGCTCGCTCTGCAGCCCATGCTGAGGTCCCGCGGAGCGCTCCGTTCCCCCTACAGTTCTGCAACGCTTCCGGCTTGGGGAGGTGTTGCTTCATTAAATCCAATGTTAAGATGTAGGGGAATCACCACATCTCCCTCTTTGTCGTATATAGCGAGGCACAAATGAGGCTTAGCAACTGCTCAGGGACAGCGATACGAGCAGTTACCCTCCGCAGCGTGGCAGCTCGGGCTCTGGGCTCGCACCCGGCGCGGGGTTGGGCAGAGTCGGCGCGCGCGGCGTGGCTGTCCGGGTTGCAGCCGGCCCCGCTCCGCCCGCCTCACCGCCGTCCCGATCCGCAGCGGTGCTGGCGGTGCGCGCGCTGCTGCCACTGGTCCGTACGGCGCTGGGGAAGGACGCGGTGTTGGATTGCGCCTTCGACGCCGACCCGAGGGCGGCCGTGGCCGTGCGATGGGCGCTGCGGCAGAAGGGGCGGCCCGAGAGGCGCATCACCACCTCCGGCGGCGGCCGCGCTGAGATGTTCCCGCAGGAGCCCCGCGGTAACGCATCCCTGCTGCTCCGGCGCGTGGAGCTCGGTGACGAGGGGACGTACATCTGCGCGGTGCAGGCGGCAGCCCTCGTGCTGGAGCAGGCGATCCTGCTGCAGATAACAGGTAACGGCGCTCCGACACAGCGCACAGATTTGTGGTCAGTTCAGCTCGATGATGGAGACAGAACCGGCGAGCCGAGAAAGCCAATAGTGCCATAAATCTTTGCTCACCAGAAAAGCCCACGGTGACCGTCAACGTGAACTCCCTATCCCTGGTGGAAGGGGAGCAGCAGAAGCTGGTCTGTGACGTCCGCAACTACTACCCTGCAGACATCCACGTGCAGTGGCTCCGTGAGCCGCGGGGCGCCGGGCGGCTCCCCGACACCGTGCCCAACGTCCTCACCAGCAGCCACCGGCGCAGCAGCAACGGCACCTACAGCTTCTCCAGGTTCTTCCTGCTGACAGCGACCCTGCATGAGGACGGCCACACCTACACGTGCCGCGTGGAGCACTCCAGCCTGCAGGCACCCATCCGCAGGAGCGTCAGCGTGGCAGTGAGAGGTACCCAGCTCTGTGCTGGTGCTGTCCGGGCACTGATCCCACAGAGGGCTGGAGGGAGAATGGCCCACTCACCCATCCCTGTTCTCAGCGATGCTTTGAGTAAAACGAACAAAAAAGCCATCCTGTTCCCAGCCCTCATTTATCCCCATCCTTCTCCTTTTGATTCATCTGCAGAAGCGACCTCCATCGCCTGGCTGCTGCTGCTGCTGCTGGGCCTCACTGGGTGTCTTGTGGCCGCACTCCATCACCTCTACAAAGGTGAGAACAGCTTCAGGTGGGGGGATGGGGGTGTCTGGGTTGGAGGGGAGAGGGCTATACCGTGCAGAGCAATTCTGTGCCAAGATGCCCCTGAGATGCAGTGAGGCTGCAGACCCTGCCTGTTGTCCTTTTATTCACAGCCTTTCTTTTTTTCTGTTTTCCTTTTTGCCCACCCTAGCGAGGAGCACAACTAAGGTGGGTGCGCTTCACATTCCTGTTTCTCCCACGACTGTCAGTGCTTTCCCTCGTGCTCAGCACTAAACTCCCTTCTCTCTCCCCCCAGCCCAAACCTTACTAGGCGCAGTGCTCCAGCAAGGAGCAGACACGGCCCCACGAACTTCAGGTGCCATTGGCACCGCTGGATGCCTCAGTGCAGGAGAGCAGGGGGCTGGGGTAGGCTGAAGGTGACAGCTGTTGCTGAATGCCAGTGTGGATGAAGCAATCTTCCCAGTTACTGGCAAAGGGGGAAGCTGCAAGAATTATTTTTGTAATAAAGATTGATTTAGAGAACCCAAGCTTTGTAGGTTTGGTTTTGTTCTTCCTTGGCCCCTCTGCCACCCACTCCCACCCCACATTATCCTGTTCTCACATTGGCACATCCATGGGCTCACTCTCATCACCAAATGCTGAAAAAAAATGCTGATCAAAAGCACTGTTCATCGTTCAGCCCAAGCTGTAGGGAAAAAACACAGACACTGCCCCAAAAAATGAAAGCATTTTGTAGCATCCTAGGAGGGAGAGAGCATCCTCTCCATGCTTGGCTAATGCTCGCACAGATGTGTGCAACATATGGACACAAAATATGTTATTTATTGTGAATTTTGCAAAGACACATTTAAGCAACAAAATATACATTTGTGAACCTTTAGTTTTATACATAACAAATACAATCTGCTACTATAGCAATAAATTAAATGTACATTATTTACAACAGACATAGGCCACCAGGAACTACGAAGCGCCGCCTCTCCACATAAAAAATAAACTTCTGTCAGATACATTTTCCCAAGATTTTTTTTTCACTCTATAAACTCTCTTCACATTCTAATGATATAAATTCAGCATTTTCCTTCGCAGGATATACGCAGTGCTACATTCCTTCCAACAACGAAGCACGCTCTGAGGGTCCGAGCTGAGCACATCGCAGCCGCACGCAGCCCTGCAGTGTGGGTGCAATGTGCCCTGCGGGGATCGGGGCCACGTGGCACCGCCGGCACCGACTGCCCCTGCAGCAGCTGAGGAAACCCGGGGTCGTGGCTTCCATCAGGGTTACCGTGCCCGCCGGTGCCAAATAAACATTCCGGCCCTGCGTCTGCCGTCGCCACAGAGCCCAAAACTCCGTAAAGAAACTGAGTCTGTGCTTGGGACGGTCCCTTTTTACCCAGGGAAAAAAAAAAGCACTTCCATTTGTATGCAGGTGTGTACATGTGTGCGTGTGTCACGTAGAAGCACAAAACGTTTTGCAATATATATGCAGGAACGCCCTCACCCACCGCTGGAGCACAAAACCCTTCCGCGCTCCGCCAGCGCACGGCCGCGCCGCGCACGGTCAGCCCGGGCAGAGCAGGGAGCCACGCCGCGGCCCGCGACGCCCCACGCATCGCTTCAGCCCCGGGGCCGCAGCCCTCCCAGAGCCCTCCGACAAACCGCTCCGGGTCAGAAGGAGCCTCGCAGATTCAAGTAATAACAGAAACAAAACAACGACCCGAAAACAAAAGCCCGGACGAGAGCAGCCACTGCATTTGCTGAAAGATCTCACAGAGATCAACACGCGCGCAAACAAAGACGCACAGAACCACACAACTCCTCGGGAAAGCCGCACCGAGCCCCGGGCGCGCGGCAGCCCCGCAGCGCAGCACTCCGCGGAAGGGCGAGGGTTCGGCGCCCCCGGGGGGCAGCAAAGCGAGGGGAACCGCCTCCGGCAAAGAGCAGCTCGAGGTTTAAATGCGACTTAAAAGCAACTCACGGACCGCGGGAGGGAGCGCTCAGTCCTCGCGTTCTCCGCGACGCGATTCCTTCGTCAATCGGATCGTTAATTCCTCCGTTAACGCGCCCCACCGGCCCGCAGCCCTTCCTTCCGACAGCGCCACGCGGCGCGCACCGCCGGGCCGTTTGTGGGCGGGGGCTGCAGCCGCGCGCGGGCGGCTTTGGCGCTGCCAGCTGTGCGTCGTTAGGAATCATGAACTCAAAAAACGGCTTCCACTTGCAATGAAGAACGTCGCTTCTGGCCGTTACTTTTGCAAGTGTGACGGATTGAGGCGAGGTGCAGCGCTGCACCTCTGCAGCATTTAAAAAGTGGATGGGGGAAATCCGTGACCACCCTGAACATAGTAGACAGACTTACAGCGAACCTTAGGCAAAGCTCCCTAAGGGCCGAGGGATATCTGTGCGGGCAGGAGCATCTTCTGCAGAGCGGCACGGGGAGGTGTCACCTTGCACAGCCGTAACCGCCCTCTTTCGAAGTGAACGGACGCGCGCTCAGAGGCGGGGGCTGATTTTGCAAAGGGCGGAGCAGCCCAATGCCGTCCCGGCCACCGGCGGATGGAGCAGCCCTGGGACGAGGCAGATCCCGCAGGCTCAGTGCTCCGAGCACCAGTCTGGGATTCGGTTACACCGCAGCTTTGGCTTCGGTCTGTCCCGGGCCCACGCTGCAGTTCTGGGCAGGGAAGAAGCACTCGGGCCACGCAGAGAAGGCAGATGGCACCGCGTGCCAGCACCCGGGGAGCGCGGGGCTGCGCGGCCCCAGGTATTTTGCAGCCCAAGAGCTGGGGGTGGGGTCAGCAGGGGCAGCGCGTGAGCCCCGGTCCCACAGCACTGCTGCACCAGCTCCAAAAGCAGAGAACCAGAGCTGCCCGTGCCTGCCAAGGGGAAAAAAACTCCCAGGTGTGTGTGTACATGGACGGTGCAAGCACCTGAGGGACACTTCAAACCTCTCCGGTGCCCCCCCAGCTCCCTGCCCGCAGCCTGCTGGGGCCGTAGGGGAGGCGGGGGGGCACGGGGAGGGCTAGGACTGCTGGGGCCGGGAGGGAGGTGATGTCCTCCGGCGGGCACAGGGTCGGCTGCAGCGGGGAGGGCATCGTGCTGGAGTGTGAGGTGTGTGCGTTCCCACGGGGAGGTGAAGTTTTCCCTTTGCTGAAACAAAAATCCTCTGGGGAGGAAAAAAAAAAAAAAAAAAGAGAGAGAGAGACAGAGAGAGAGGAAAGTGTCAGAGATACTCAAGAAACAGAGAAAGAAAATGCAGCGCTACGTCGTGGCACTGATGGGCACCGGCCATCATTGATCATTGATCACTACCGTCTTTCTCGCTCAGTGCTGCCCTCACCTTACAAAAGCATTTAGGATGCCCACAGATCTGGTACTGACCATGCATTTAATGATAAGCGCTGCAATTGGTTGCTGCGTGCTGTCGTTAAAGGACATGCATTGGACCTGAGATGAGATGAATCATGTCACACAACAGTGTTACAAATACTCACCGCTGAAAAGTTCTCGACTTCCTTTTTTCCTGCTAGTGACTCTAAACGAGAAACCAGAATTCAGGTTGGATTGCAGACAAAGGCACAGCAACACAGAGCAGCACTGCCCCGCAGCCCCGCGCTGTGCCTGCAGGGCGTCCCCACGCTGCGTACCGTGCTGGAGCTGCCGTGGCTGAGCTTATCGAAGCGGAACTTCAGGTTTGACCTCGGGGAGTTTCTGTTCTTTACATCTGCTGGAGGGTGGAGAAAAGCAAAGCGAAGTAATAACCCACGAGCAAACCGGTTGCTGAATCAGGCGGCAGCCAGGAACTTTAATATTTTGTCACCAATGTTACCAATATTTAGTCTATCTTGACTGAACGTTTGGCAAAATCTGTACATTAAGTGTTTTTGATGGAATAAATTGAGGCTTAATTACATCTCAGAGTGTTTCTACTGGAAATGCCACTGAAAAGGCTGCAGCAAATGACTGATCTATGTAAGTATGGATTTCAGTGCTTTTGGCAGGAAAATGCAAAATAAACACTTTAAGCATTAAAAATGCTGTTTTGTTCATTCTGAAAATTGCTAATAAAACAAGAAGGACTTGAGGTGCTGATACCAAGGAAAGAGAGCCAGGCTGCACTCCCAGCTCTTTTCCGGAGCTTCTCCCAATTATCAAGCTGCTCCCAATTACCAAGCTGTTACTGGTGGATTTGTAGCTCTCCGGCTGTTCTGCAAAGAGCTCCTGAGTTCCTAATGTGTGCTTTCATTTGAATCCTGGCTCCTTCCAGCAGGACCACAGCGCACGGGGAAAATGCAGCGCTGCGCTGCGCGGTGAGGGGCGGGCGCCCGCTCTGCCCGTCTGGCTCGCGTTGACTCGTACCTCGCTTTGCTAATTGGCTCCAATGGATGGAATTAGTGCAGAGTTGGTTAGCAGGAGGGGTAATAGAGCCAGGCTCAAGGAGAGCTGCTTGGTTACTAAAGAACTCCTGAGTCACAACTTATTCCTTGGAGACAGCGAGTTTCCAAGGCTACTGCAAATGTCCATCAGAAGAGTCCTAGAAGCCCCCCTGTGCTGGTTTAGAGCTCCGTGCTGCAGTATGGGTGAGCCGGGCGAGTTGCTCACAGTCGGGGCCCCACATCCTGCATCCTCACTGCCTCTCCCATAGCTGCTCCCACACCAGGCTGCCCCAGAACCCACCTGTGGGGCTCCGGCTCATGATGACCGGGGTGGCCGCGGCCCCCACGCTCGGGCTATCACTGACAGGCGATGCGCTGTAGATGAACACGTCCTGCTTGAAGGGCGATGCTGTGGATGGCTGGCTGCCCTGCACGGATAGAGTGGGACACAACTCCACTCCCTGTAGCGAGCTGCTACCCGGCACTCTGAGCGTGCCCAGCAGAGCTGCACTCTGCAGCACAGCATGGCACAGAACAGCAAAACGTGGCACAGCATGGCTCAGCACGGAACAGCAACTTTCATCCTTCAGGGTTGTTCAATAAATCCCATAGGAGCCAACCCAAGTGGACACGCGCACTTCCCTCCGCCCTGCTGGGATGACACCGGCACCCACCGGGATCATACAGGGGCACGAGGCTGTGGCATCCCCCCCAAGGAGCCCCCAGACTTGAAGCAGACCCCCCCCAGAGCTGCAGCACAGAACTGGGTTCCTACCACGCTGTCGTACTCCTCCAGTGTCTCACTCTCCCCCGCCGTGCTGCTGAAGCTGCTGGTGCTCGAGGAGGAGCGCGAGATGTTGGACCGGCCGTTCTCCTTCAGCTTGACAAAGGGCCTAGGGGGTGACGAGACACTTAAGTGAAGCATGTGGTCACTGCACCGAGCACCGAGCTGAGCACTGTAGGATGAGCTCTGCTGGGCACAGAGTAGCCACCATGGGATGGAGTCGGGGCATGGCTGGCAGCATTCCCCTCCAAAGGAGGAACACAGGATCTGGTAGCTGTGGGAACATGCACAGGGAGCTCACTCCATGCGCCTGCCCCAACCTGCAGGGTTTGGAAACTCCTGCCAACGTCTTTTGGCAGGAAAATGCAAAATA